CTCATCCATGATTGTCTGATTCCACAAGGGTTTTAGCTGATTGATCCAGTCCTACGCACAGTAGATGACTAGTCTGCGGAACAAAGCGCAGAGACCAGATGTCGTCCCATGCCAGCTTAAGCAACCCTTCCTGCTTCCTCCTGGGGGAAGAATCAGGAAAGAACATTACCCAACCATTTCCTTTACTTGCTTTTCTGGGAGAATAATTTTTTTTTTACTTGGTGTTAAATCCATACTGGTTCAGACTCAAATCATATCATCATCAGTATTCCATGATTGGGGGTGGGGTGGGGGGGGGGGGGTCAGAAAAATTGGACCTTTTTATTAGAAATCTATCTGTGATCATAGAACCAAGAACAAATTTTGGTTCAGACTGGAACTTTTCCTTTTCCTGGCCAAAAGGGTGGAACTTGCATTAAATATTTTGCATGGGAGTTGTGCAGTATGGCACTAATTGGTGCAGACACTTTATTTTGAAGCTTCCATTTAGCTGTCAGATGATGTCATCTGAACGTGACCTGGGCAGAATTAAGGAAAAATCCCTTTCCGGCTACACTGCCTTCCTCCTCTTGCTAAAACGCCCTGCGTTCCCTGGAGAAATCAGTTGATGGACTCGTCAAACTCCGCTTAGAGTGAGTCTGGTTTCAGTTTGAAAGCTCAGATGCACTTCATCAATTAATAGCAGTGGAGACCATTATTTGTTCATCTAAATAATAAATACGGGCCTATGAATGGGGCTTTTATGCAGCATCCAGTTAATGCACATACAATGATATTCTGGGAATGAACTGACAATGGTGAAAGCAGATGGGTTCCGATGATATAGCCTTAGACTGTTGTGTGGTGGGTACATGTGTTATTTGAAAGGTTTCTGACTGATGGAGTAATTGTCAGTATGAATGATGAAGATGACTTGCAGAAAGGCTTTTGTATTCTGCATATTTTGTAGTCTCAGATTTGTTACATTTTGTTATATGTACTCTGCTCTTTCCTATTACCATTGTTTTTTTTTTTTTTTTTAATTTTTATTCTTTTTTTTTGTGCATATATTTAAATAAATGCCACTTCTAGAAAAAGGAATTTGACCCAAGGTACTTAGGTCCATTTATATTTTTGTTGGTAAATAAATGAATATTGTTAATATTTATCATAGATTTTTTTTTTTTTTGAAATGTTGGTTGTTTGACAGGAAAAATTAAGCTCCTTTAATTAGATCTCCAAAAAAACTTCAGAGACCTCTAATCTGCTTGAAAAAAAAGAAATGCACTTCCGTCAGTTAATAATAACACAGTCCATTATTAGTTTATCCAAAACAAACTTACACCCCATTTCCATAAATTTTTAGATCGATCTATCCCTGTGGGGAGTCTCACTAGATTACTGTCAGCTTGGCCGGCTTAAGCGTCTGTCCCGCCTACTAAAAGCTGTAAGGGGGTAATTAAATATGGTGCCCGCTCGGCTGACTGCAATTTAGCGTAAACCCCCAGGGAGTTAGGTCGATCTAAATCTTAATCTTTAGGTCGATCTAAATCTCTGGGAATGCACCCATAGATACCACCATCCAGTATTGATAAAATTTAAAAAGTCTTTAGTCAACATTATTTTATTTTATTTTATTATTTTATTTTATTTTATTTTATTTTGTTTCAGAGATGGAGAAGAAGGTACTTTAAGCTCAAAGGCAGAAAACTCTACTATGCAAAGGATACTAAGGTAATACTGACAGGTCCATGCACACACAAGAAATAAAATACATGTTCTGAATTAGTTTTCCTGGTGATAAACAGAGCAGGAAACTTTTAAAGATTGCCAGCCTTAATGGGGGGTCTTTTTCGTTTTATTCCGCAAGTGTGTGTACTAGTACACACATGCACATGTGTGAGCACACAGCACAGTGGCCACTGTAAGGCCTACAGAATCAGTTGAACACACATATATAATTTTAGAAATAGCATACAGTTAATACACCTTTATTATACCTGTATATTAACTGTATGCGATTTCTAAATTGAAAATTATCAAACACAAGCTGAAATCTTTCATACTATTAGCTTATGACCAACCTGGACATAGGCCTTCATCAGAATGATATGAGTAGATGTTACTCACTGACCGCTAGGTGGTATAGCGGTCAGGACCCTGTTATAAATGTCAGGTAGATCGACCAGCTGTCCCTATTCATGGGTGGCTGGTGACGGCTGATGTTGATAGCCTCTCGTATCTCGCATGAGATGTCAGATGACTGGGATTCAAGGATTTGGGTTGAATTCCAGTCAGTGCTGTGTCCAGTGTCTATAACATGTTCAGAAATGGCATAAAAGATTTAAGCTAACAGTGCGAAAGATTTTCAGCTTGTGATTGATAATTTTCATGTATGATCCAACTACCAAGCTAATGAACATTTTGACTCATGTGATTTCTTGTTTTGTACAGTCTGTGATCTAAATTGAACACACATACATAATGGTGTATTAACTGTATATGATTTCTCGTTTTGTACAGTCTGTGATCTTCAATGAAATAGACCTGACAGATCTCAGCCTAGCAGAGTGCAGTATTAAGAATGTTAATCACAGCTTTCAGGTAAGTGGCATTGCGTTAGGTGAGACATTGTACTTTGTCATATGACATTTTAGTCAAGTGTGACATAGGGACCATTTGCATAACCCTATCGCCTTAGCAGGATTAATCCATCTCCAAAGGGATTCTCGCTAAGTTGCATTTAGTTTAAGCATGCTTGAAAGTTACTTACCCCCTAGCAGCTTCAGTGGGCATGACAGACATTTTAGCTGCTTAAACTGAGTGCAATTTGGCAAGAATCCCCTTGGAGTTAGGCTGTATTCCCAGAGCTTTTAGATCGATCTATCCCCGCGGGGAGTCTCACTAGATTACTATCAGATAATCCGGCTTAAATGTCCGTCCTGCCTACTACAAGCTATAAGGGGGTAATTAACTTTCGTGCCCGCTCGGCTGACAGCTATTTAGCGTGAACCCCCAGGGAGTTAGGTCGATCTAAAGTAGATCGATCTAATCTCTGGAAATGGGGTCTTAGACTGATCCTGTTAGTATGACAGGTTTATGGGAACCTGGGGTAGAACTAACACACAAATGCTAAAAACTGACTTAAATTGGCTAGACAAAATGGGTTGGTTTTGACTTATTTTAGTCAAATTTAAACCATTTGGAGAAAAAAAGTGATGAAAAAATAATAATTTGGCGAAATGAAAAAAAAAATTCCTAGCGCAACCCCAGGGAACCCATTCATAGTATTTGTAAAGACACTACTGGTTATGACATTGTATTAGTTGTGACATTGAAGTTTGTGTGACCTTGTGTTAAGTTTGACGATGTGCTGCATGTGACATTGTGGGGTGTGCCACAGTGCGCTTGGTGTGATTATTTTGTTCCTTGTGGCATCCTGTTGATGATGAAACAATTTAATGTGAAGGATATTGGTCTACCACAGTGCAGTGTGAAATCTGTTTAACACAGCTTTCTGTCATGTTGCATTTTGCCAGATGTGATACATTGACTTAATTGGTGCTAGTTGCGACACATTCAAACACTCAAGCTTTAAGTGAAAAATAGCTGGCCTAGGGATTTGCCGTGTATTAATATAATTGGTACTGTAAAATTTTTCCCCTTTTTAGGGGGTAATACAATATATTCTAACATTTCAGATCATCACCCCATTCCGTAACTTGATAGTATGTGCGGACTCGCGGAAGGAGATGGAAGACTGGATACAGGCTCTTAGAATATCTGGCAACAGAGAGTTTTATGAGGTAATGTATGAGGAATTGTGTGTTGGTGGAAGAAGTGGATATGTTGAAAATATTAAAGGAGAATGAAGTCTGGATATAGGCTCTAAGGGACAATTCCCATAACCCTATTGCACTAGCTGGATCGTGCTAACTCCTGGGGGATTCTTTCAAAATTGCATTTAGTTTAAACAGCTTAAATGTCTGTCAAGCCCCCTCATAACTTGAAGTGGGTAACTTCATGTTACGAGGGGTAAAGTCGAGAAAATTTTGTGGTCCATGATGTTGTAGGGACTGGCTATGGGGAAGGTGAAGGAGCCAGTAAATCTGGTTTCCTGTTAGATCTTTCTAGGTATAGGAATGGGGTCCAAGTATAGGGGGGTTTAGGTATAAGGGAATGTTTATGAAATAAGGGGAGGTGGGTAAAGGAACAGGTGGGTTGGGGTGGGAGGGGGGGTTGAAGAAGATGAAGTACTGGATAGAGGCACGAAGTACTCTCAAGTTCCAAATAATTGTACTGTGTGGAAAAATCTTCAAAAATTAATAATTGTACTGTCCGAATAATTGTACCATGTAGAAAAATGTTTGAAAATTAATAATTGTGCTGTGCGGAATATTTGTACTGAATGGCTGCTTATGAGAGTGGGGGTTGAAATGAAATACTGTTGTCACTGAGAGTAAGAAAAAAAATTGTGAAGAGGCTTGGTTAAAAGACTGGGAAAATTTAAGCTAAGCAATTTAATTTTTTAATTTTTATTTTTTTAATTTTTTTATTTATTTATTTTTTTATTATTATTATTATTTTTTTTTTTTTGCAGTATTATTTAGTTGGCTGAAGGTTTCAACAAAAATGGCTTAATACTTTTTGTGAAACACGCACATGGTAAACAAAAGTCTTGTAGGCTTGTAACCAAGGCATTTCTGTTTTATTGACAGTCTACCTGTTTGAGATTCATGCCAAAATGGATAAGAACGTCACTATGATTTACTCTCAAATGTTTTGTGAGTGATTGAAAAAAATTATAATTTCCTCTGCCTTATCTGTACTTATTATTTTCCTTCCCAGAACTTAATGATTCTTTTATTTGACCTTATCATCAGAAACATCACATTTTTACCACTCATGCATTTTTATCATTAAAGAAATGAAAAAATGGCTCAGTAAATTGACATACACTGATATGATTTTAATTTCACTTTTGCATAATATCAACTTAGGCAGGTGAACAGGCTTTGTTTGATTTGTGGTGTGGTATTGTCTTTTCTCTCCCTGGGGGAGAGGTGGGGGGGGGGGTTGTAGGGAGAGAGAGAAATAGAAGGAGAGAGAGAGAATTGCTGAAAAGACTTGATTAAAATTTATAAATTACCAATATGTGAACCACTTGCCAGTTTTCCATTTTTCCATCCCTTTTCTTTTTCTGTTCGAACCCTATGCCTATTTGTGTCTGGAATCTTCATTGAGCATCAGCTGTCATGAGATAGAAAAAGAAATTAATAAAAACACCAGAAAAAAAGAAAAGATATACGCAAATAGATTTTGGCATGATATTCATATAAAAGACGTGAAGGCTAAGTAGAAATAAATTGTTTTATGTTCAGATGAGGATGGTACGAGGGAATAATTATGCAATAATCTCATAGTTTTTTTTTCTTTTTGAATGAGTCATTCAAAACATGCAAGTTCTTCTAAATAGATGTTGGACAGAGACAAAGAGAAAAATATTCGATACTTTGACAACAATATCACTTTGGGGATGAGCAGAGATTAGAGAGTTACGTTACCATTTTTTGTACCACCATTGTTTATGCTGGTGGGATATTGTATTTGGTCTAGAACTACATAGTACTGCCTCCGCCAGCCTTGTCCTGTAAGGTACAAGTCTCCATTACCACGTACATCACCTCAATAACTACGGAGACCAGTGGAATTAGGTTTCACGTTATTTTAACAAGTTGAATGTGAAAGATATCACTCAAAACCAACAGAAATGTTTTAAAAATTGTAGATTTCTAATCTGACCTTGAATTTGACCCTTGACCTAATTTCCAGGTTCAGATGGGATGAAATTTTGATTTTTTTTTTAGTCTGTGTGTAAAATAGTGTGTTTGTCCTGATTTTCAGCAACTTTACAGACCTATACAGTTATATTACTGTAAAAACTTGCACTTGTGGTCTTCTTTCTGGTCTGTGAATATGGAGTCAATTGGTGCATTTTCACAGATGTAGTAGCTGTTGCATGCTGAAATTAAAAATTTACTAATGATGGTTTCTGTAACAGCGAGAGACTCCATGTTCATTGTATTTCGTAGAGTGCACCTAGCAAAATATTGAGATTCTGGAAGGAATTCAGAAGGAAACGAATATTAAGTCGAACACATACACATGTGCAGTATCTGGAAAAACGGGCATGTATAAAGAGACATTTTGTGGAAAGAGAAAGAGAGAGTTGAGAAGCAATTTTACAGTCAATCAGGATAGTGGAAAAGGAAGTGAGAGAGAGAGAGAAGAGGAAGGGAGAGCCCTTCCGCATTACTTTTATGAGCCAGAGTTATTTTTACAAACTCTTCCTACTTGTACATAATCAGCAGCTGCAGGTGCACTGGGTACATAATTATATAAGTAGACTGAGCTCAGCTATTAATAACAGCAACACCTACTTGTCTCCCTTTTGAATCCTACCTCAGCTGAGAGAATTATTGACCGATATCTTCTATTGCAAAAAATAATTGGATTCACACTCTATGTTGGCAGGTGAATGTGACTAATTTTTTTCTCCAGAACCACCCTGTGAAGACCAAGATTTTATTGGGTTTAGGTATTTTAATTGAGGCGGCATGCGAGGATTGTACTTGCTCCTTGCCGTTTTGATGATAGGAACCAATTAAACACATCAAGGTCTATACACATGAGTGAGCATTTCTTTCAGCTTTCCAAAAGTCGTCGGTCAAGATGTTGTTAGTCAACCTAGAAACTATCACAGCTCCTGTTATGTAAGAGTTAAAGACCTGAAAAATGTACAGTAATTACTTGATCTTTTCTATGGGGGACAATTGTGAATTTAACAGTCATAATTTCTTAAAATTAGAACATTCCTATTGAGTAGGAGCAACAAATTTAAAAGGCAGGCTACTTTGTCGTTCTTTTACATTCAGTTAAAGCACTACAAATGCTGTATAGAAATATAATTTTTGTGATTATAAAATTATGTATCTGAAAGCTTTATAATTTTTTCCATTGAAAAAATGGAATAAAAACCGTAGTTCATAACTTGTTAGATAAGATATGAAATACAACGTCACAGGTGTTAAGGCTCGGCAGTCTGATGCAGACTTTTCCCCTAGCTCAATATGATACGTGCAGCCAATATGATACCTGCTCTTTGGCTTAGTTTTGTTTCCAGGATTATTTCTCCAACAGAATCTTGTGGCACACTCCATAGAAGGCCGTGCAACATAATGATTAGATGCGTCTGCCTATAGCAGTCCCTGAGGCCATAGCTGTGATTAGTTGGGAAATTTGTACGAAACACTGCTGATATGTTCAGATAACATGCAAATAATTATGGAGATTTGAAAATGAAATAGCTGACATCACACCTGATAACTGAACTAAGATGTCAAATTTGAATGTCTCTGTGTTATCGAATTGTATGGTGATATCGTGCAACAAGTTTTTTGATAGCAAACAGCAATCCTGACATGACCCCTGTGGCATAGTGCAGATAAGGCCAGTTAATAAATTGACAATTTAAGAGATAAGATTATAGATACTGGGATATTGTTTGTAGGCACAATTTATATAACACTCAGAAAAAGCGATAAGGGTTGTCAGTTTTACAAAAGGACTTTAATCTTTTAAAACAATCAGTGATGCTAACGGAAAGACCAATTTTTCAGTCCTTGTTGACCCCAAGTTTTGAGTGGTTGGTAACATAAAAAGGACTTGGGTCTTAAAATAGGTGGTCTTAGACCCCATTCTTGTACCTAGTATTGACCCATCTTCGAGGGGTTTCTTGCTAAATTACATTCAGCTTAAGCAGCTCTGATGTCTGGCACGCCTACTGAAGGTGTTATTGGGTAATACGCTATCATTTAGCAGGTGTGCCAGACATCTAAGCCGCTTAATCTGAATTCAGTTTAGCGAGAAACCCCTCGGAGATGGGTCGATCATGCTAGATCAATCTATGTATGGGAACAGGGTCTTAACCTGAACTCTGAGTACTTCTGTGTGACACCTTAAGTTATTTGGTTGAGCATGGGTGGATCAGGACACGTTTTCTTTTCCCTTCCAGCCTGGTATTGAGCATCGCGCAATGATGTCAGGACAGCATCACTGGTACGCATGTTCGCATGCACGACCAACGTACTGTAACGTGTGCAGGGAAGCTTTGTCTGGTGTCACGTCCCATGGACTCTCTTGTGAAGGTAAGTCATGAGCCTTGGAGGCAGGGTTGAGATATTTCTATCTATCAGCGGATTTCTGATTTTTTGGGAGCCAAAAATACCATAGGTCTAGCCGCCCCCTTGTATCCAATGCCATATTTTCCAACTTTTTCACTAAACTACAGTCTCATTTCTGCAGTGAAATATGAATGAATTTTAAAAAAAGTCTTATTTGACAGTGATAAAACCTTGCAAGAAATGAGAGCAACTGAAACTTAGCTAGCAGAATTGGCTCAGTCCTCTTTTGAACAAATGCCTAATCCATTTATAAGCCCTGAATTATGCTAGTATTTCAGTATCTGATTTTATAGAATCTGATGTAATGAATCGTTAATCAAAATTTTTTTTCAACAATATTACCACCTAGGAAATGAAACCTTTTTAGACTAACTTCAACTGAGTTGACAATATTTTGAATTCGGGTCCATCTAAGTAAGGTCAGTTGTCTCTTGTTATAAACCACCTCTGCTAGCTGTCGGATCATGTTAAGCTCATTACAAGCAATGGATTAAGTAAACGATATGCCGTTGTTTGAGAAGGCGTTTTGAAGAGAACAAAAAGATTACATTTCCTGCTTATTGTATCCTTATCATACGCCGATACCAGCCTTCAGGGATCAATCATCTTCACAAGGGCCAACCCAATTTCAAAGGAAATATGCCTAGTTACATGATCCATTGGCCTGCACTTCCTGCTAGTTCATTTTCAAGAATTTTTCATGAGACCATCTTACTGTGACTTAAATAATTTAATAAAATGGTGATGATTATTCAAAGATGACAACCCAGAGGTTGAAGTTTTATATAAGGGGAATTTTTATTTTACTTTAGTGAATACAAGTAGAAAAAATTAGATAAAAATGAATTTATCACCAGAAGAAAGAAAAAAATGGTGCAATTGAATTGGAGCCGAGTTGACGTGATATTAATTTAACAGATGTGTAACTAGAGGGATTATGTTCAGGAGGTGGATAATATTAGGTAATCATTTATGTATAAATTTACATTAAAGGATATGTGATAAACATTTGCAGAGATGATACAATTTACATTAAAATGTTTTTTTTACTCCAGTCTGTAAGTTTAAGGCCCACAAAAGGTGCGCCGTGCGTGCGAACAGTACGTGTAAGTGGACCACGCTGGCAGCAGTGGGAAAAGATATCATCGAGGATGAGGATGGGGTGAGTATCGGGAGGAAGAAAGCGAAAACACACAACTGGCTGTGCCAAGTCCCAAAAATTACGGTTATCTTTATTAAATTTTCAGTGGAATATATAATACAGTGACATATGTTAATGTAATTGCTTCAGATATATACCACTTCCTATTTCAACTGTACACCTCTTGTAGACGTCCCTTCTATGTACCCAAACATAAACATATACTGTGACAATGTTTTCATAAAATTTTGTAAGGAGATCAACGCCACATCACTGCCCCATCTGACACTAACACCCCATTTCCATAGATTTTTAGATCGATCTATCCCTGTGGGGAGTCTCACTAGATTACTGTCAGCTTGGCCGGCTTAAGCGTCTGTCCCGCCTACCAAAAGCTGTAAGGGGGTAATTAACTATGGTGCCCGATCGGCTGACTGCAATTTAGCGTGAACCCCCAGGGAGTTAGGTCGATCTAAAACTTAATCTTTAGATCGATCTAAATCTCTGGAAAGCACCCTAAAACACTATACTCTATCATATAAGTACTGATATGGTATGTTCTGATAGGAAAAGACACTGGCACAACCAGGCACATTTGTTGTGTCACATCTAACGCATTATGATTAGTACATTGCCCTACATTTGAGAGCTTGTGCAAATTTCATATCAGTTTACTAATTCCTGAGGACAGGACATTAACTGTTGCAGATGTTTAAATAAGTAGAATCTTATTCGCAAAGCTTTCAATTCGTACAAAGTTACAAAGTTTGCATGTTCCAATTCTCTTGGAAAATATTACTCACTCCTATCACAATATATGTCACAACTAATGGAGAACTTTTTACGATAACTTGACATTTGTTACATTTTACACTTAGCAGTATAGTTTATATGCAAATAGTTTGACATATACCATGCACTGACACTTTGTGACCAACTACTACATATACTGTTGAATTGGCTGGATAAACATTATGGTAATTATAATAAAAAAAAACTCCTGTTCCCTCCAGGCCATCTCGATGCCCCACCAGTGGTTGGAAGGGAACCTCCCAGTGAGTGCCAAATGTGTAGTTTGTGATAAAACATGTGGCAGTGTCCTCAGGTTACAAGACTGGAGATGTCTCTGGTGTAAAGCTATGGTAAGTCCTCCTCCTGCTCTCCTCTCATACGGCAGGGTTTTTAAAATCCATGACTGATAACAGATGTCATTATTGCAATTACCAATATCAAAATTGTTGTCAAACTAATATTTGCCTTAAAAGAAATGTATTGAAAGTTAATGACCATTTTCTTTAGAGTTGTCAAATAGTTTACTGTCCTAGTTTGACAGTGTGCACTGACTATACTATGTGATACACCATGTAGAATATTGTTTATAATTTAACCACACATTTTGAAGGTCCATACCTCTTGTCGGGAGACGTACCCCAAGCGATGCCCCCTAGGGCAGTGTCGTGTGTCTATTTTGCCGCCAATAGCCATTAACAACATAGACTCGGATGGCTACTGGGAGGCCATGAGACCCCCAGGGACCAGCCCCCTACTTGTGTTCATTAACTCTAAAAGTGGGGACAACCAGGTCAGTAACATAATCTAGGTCTTGGTGACCTACATATAATCTAGGTCACTTTGATCTACTTGCAGATTTCATCCACATATGTGAAAAGTATTTAATTTGATCCTTACCTTGATGGGTGTAGATTCAGTATTTAAGCAAATCAGATTATTATTTTTTTAATAATTAAAAAATTGACTTAAACTCATAAATAATACTGCATAATTTCTTCTTAAAGATTGTTTGATGTTCTTTAATTTTTTGATGCACTATAACTATCAGTTGATAGAATGCAAGAATTTTGAAGCAGCATTTCCTCTTCATTTTTTGACATTTCAAAAAAATTATTTTCCCAGGGGGTGAAGTTCTTGCGACGGTTCAAGCAGTTGCTGAATCCTGCTCAGGTGTTTGATCTCATGAATGGAGGGCCAAAAGTGGGGTTAGTTTAAATATACATTGATAATTAAGCCATATAAATGAATACATGTTTGGTGATAGCAACTTGTACCAGAAGAAAGGCTTATGTGGTTGAATTAATAATTAGTCATTTTGAATATATAAAATAGAGATCACTTTGAGAGCACATACCTCTGGCATGGCAATATGTAATAATAAAAAAAAAAAAACTTAAAAATCAATTCAATATATTAGGAGCTTAGGACTCAGTGAAATTAAAATCGTATCTCATGAGTGGTTAGTCACCAATTTTTAATGTGCATGATTCTATTTTATCTTTCCAGTCTTCGTCTATTCCAAAATTTTGACCCATTCCGCATCCTGGTATGTGGTGGTGACGGCAGCATGGGCTGGGTGCTGTCGGAAATAGACAAGATGGAGCTTCACAAACAGGTATGGAATAGGCCTCAGCACGAATATACACCTGACCAAATCCTAAAACATCTTTATTTTTAATAGTTGTAAAGTATCATTAACTATATAAGATACGGTACATATTTAAGCAAATATTGATGGATACTGCACTCAATGTTCATTACTTATTTACACTGAAGATTTCCCCAACACATTACATAGTTTTTGGTGCATACTAAGTTAATTCTTAGACCCTGGTTACCCGAAGGGTCAGAAAAAAAAAATCTTTTTGGCACAGAATTTATATATTGAATTTATTTTAACTTATTTATTTTATCCATTTTTTCATTCATCTTTTAAAGGTGGTTAAATAAATAAATAAATATGATTCTTTTCAGTGTCAGGTTGGAGTGCTCCCCCTGGGTACAGGCAATGACTTGGCCCGTGTGTTGGGATGGGGCGGTGCCCTGGATGACGACACACAGCTCCCGGCCGTGCTGGAGAAACTCGAACACTCTCAGATTAAAATGCTGGATCGCTGGTCAATCATGACTTATGAGGCCTCCATGCCGCCTCCAAGGTCGTTACTGATGCAGGCAGACCCTATCTCAGTGTACGAAGACTCCGTGGCCAATCATTTATCTAAAATACTGCATTCCGATGACCACGGGGTTGTCATTCACTCTGCCAAGTAAGTGGTGTTTAATGCATGTTTTTATGATGATGTCCGATTTCAGGATTTTACTGGATCTTTTCAATGGGCAGAAATTATCAAACTTACATACTTTTATAATTACAAAACCTATTTATCTGTTTGGCATTTGTGGTGTTTTAACTGTATAGGATAGGACTCGGAGTAGCCTGCATTTCAATTTTGTTGCTACTACCGGAAAAAAATTAAAATGGTAATACGATGCTGAAGGTCACAGGTGAAGATATGTGAAACATGAAATGAAAAATCTAAATAAAAAATTGTTAAGGAATCTTAATGGCACATGGGCACATAAAGGACTGTAGAAATGGTTAGGAAAGTAAAAAGAAATTAAACTGTAAGGGATACTCTGCTAAAGTAATTCTATTTAAAAAGAAAGTAAATTCTGAAATGGGTCCTTGACAACAGCCATATTGCTAATCTCGGAGTCCATTTTTTTTCCTCCAGAGTCCTGTGTCAGACAGTGAAGGACTTTGTAGCCACAGTGGGCAAGGCATACGATGACCATGAAGAAGGTGAAGACTCTATCTCTAACAAGGTCAGTCCCTCTCCTCCTAGATTTTTTTCAAAACATGCTTTTTCCCTGTTTATGTTTTTATATTTATTGATTGATTGATTGATACATTTTTGATAATCCCAGGTTGACAAGATTCACAAAGAATTATTTCTTTTTCAGTATAGAAGATGTTATCAGTTACTGTTTAATTCTCAAAGATTATAAAATGTTACCTTCCTCTTTTTCCTCTCATTGCAGTGTACAATATTGAATGAAAAACTGAATTCCTTGCTACAAACTTTAAATGAGGAAGCCGCGGCCAGTGAGTCACAGTCCAAGCACAAAGTAAGCAGTTATTTATAGAATGTAGGTCACTTTGACCTAATTTACAAGGACCAGTCAGTTCCAAGTGGTATGTGTAGAATATAGGTCACATTCAACTATATGTCTATGTTCAGTTTCATTTATCAAGCAACCTTTGGAATTAGGTTGCACTGACATCTCGTACACAGACTTGCAAGGATTCCAATCCTGGGGCATTTTTCTCTAAGTTGAATGTATTAACTTACAAAATTATTTAACTATAATATCGATATTATTTGGGTGTTGCATAGTTCATCTTCATTGTAGAAATCTCAACAGTCCTCTCATGTGACCTCCCATTTGACCTCCCATGTGACCTCTGACCCAAGCTGTGATACAGAGGACCCGGAACATTTGGAGCAAGACATTGTACCAGAGGGAATCACAAAACCAAAGAATATCAAATCAGTGAGTACTTCAGTCCATTAATTGCTACATCAGTAAAAGATACACTGTTAAATATTTGGAGTAAATGTGAAGTTGATCCCCCCCCCCAAAAAAAAAAAATAATAAATAATAATAATAATTATTATTCTTATAAAAATAATAATAATATCAAAAATAAATAGTTATAATTATAATGAAAATAATAATGAATTAGGGGAACCAGACATATTAAGAATTGGCAATTGAGATATTTGAGAATTGTGTAAGTGAGAACTAAAAGTGTAGACCAGCTTTCAGTCAGATGTTTTTAAGTGAAACTGTCCTGTGATGTTTCAGGCTATTTTCAAGCCTCGTGACGCACTGATGTCTAGAGCAAACAGCTTGAAGAAGGCCATTAGACAAATCATTGAACACACAGAGAGAGGTTAGTGCAGGCGAGATGTGTCTTGTAATTTTACAAGTATAAAAATTATAGTTACCTTTTGATCATTATCATTATGGAGTAAATGTGATGTTGACCCCCCTCCAAAAAAAGTAATAATAATATTAATAATAATAATTATAATAATGAATTAGGGGAGCCAGACTTTATAAGAATTGGAATGAATATCTAGGGGTTTTTTTTCCTTTTATTTTCAGCTGTTGATGAGCAGAATGAACAAACAAAAGTCATGGAGGAGAAGCTGGCCCACCTGACAATCACCCCCCCATCGCCTATGCACATCTCTGACCTGGCACATTTAGCAGCAGACAATCGTGGTCGCACCTCGTCGACGGGGTCACGCACATCCCAGTCCCAGTCTATGATGAACCTCTCAGTTCCGCCTAAATATTCCCCAGCTGTCTCGCCAAAACTGAGCCGGTCACCTGGTGCAGCAAAGAAAAGAATTGGTATGTTTTGTATTTAAAAAAAAATTCTTTTTTTAAATTTTAAGCTGACATATGACAACAGTTTGCAAGAGCAGATGCTTAAAATTTCCTCCTGAAAAGCAGTCTTTTAACAAGCTTGTTTTAAATTTTCCAAGCAACAAATATCTTTTTTTTTAAACCAGTTTACTGTAGTTATAAATCAAGTGTGTTCACCACCAACTTTGGGAGTAAGTTTTGTCCTCTGACTCAAAAGAATAACTCATCCTTAGATTTTCACAATTAATCACCCAAACATCTGTTCCTAAGATTGCTTATATATTCTTTGACTACATGCCAAAAAACAATTTGGGAAAATTACTGATGAGTTTTTAATGACAGATAATAGTATTTTCCACTTTGGTTTGCCTCTACAACATCAAGCATAAGCCTCTCCAACCAAATACGTGCTTTGCAATAATAAATAAGTCACCCAGGGACCCCTTTTACTTAAAGGGACCCCTTGAACTTAAGACCAAACATTGGTCTCAACTTTTAGTCTAAAATTTAGTTTAATTTACTTCAAGATAGTGGTCTTAATCAGTAGCTCTTCATTTGTGTATACTGTATTATTTAGCTGAAATAAGACTGATTTAGACTGAAGAGCCAAAGTAGACTAAAATTTTGTTTTTTAAGCTCAGACCAATTTTTTGTCTAAAGTTGTTTTGTGAAATGAGGCCCCATAGGGACCAGTTTCATCGCAGCTGTTGCTATTAGGGAACCAGGGGAACCTGGTGAACCAGGTCTCTGCGGTAGAATAAGCAGTGCTGTCGGGCCACGTTTCACAAAGAAAAACTGAAAAGACAATCTTAGTAAAGCTGAGTTGCATTTCACTATTAATTTTTGGGGTTGCTAGACTGAGACTTTGAGTCAAATTGACCCTTACTCTTGACACTTATTTTCACTCAGGGTGATTTAGTAAGTTAACTACATAATGGGCTAATTATTTGAAAAAGGGTCAAAATTTTTTTAATTCTTGCGAACTAGTTATCTGTAAAAACTCAAATTTTGATTAATATTCTTTGTGAAACGTGGACCTTGGACTTTCAGATTTGATGGCTCACTCTTTCCCGCACAAAATGGGCACAATATGAAATCTTCCCTTGTTTTGCACACACTTCTTAAAGAGCACATGATCATCTATATTGCCTGTCACTTAATGCCTCTCTTTTGAGTGACTTTTTCTGTCATCTCTCGAATGGCTCCATGCTATGGAATAACCAGAATTAGACAGGGGAAAGGTGAAGCCACTATGAAGAGTATTTATACCATGTGGGACTGGTTTGATCCAAATGATTTCATGTACTGAAAAAAAAAAAAAAAAAATATTTCCATTTCTTGATACAGAAGAAACCATAAGAGGATTCATCATTTTGTATTCAAAAAAAAAAAAAAAGAAAAAAAAGTGCAGTGTATCATCTTATGTAGACACTGACATACCTCATATTAAAATCAACATTTCATTTTAATGAGATGAGTCATGATCTTTGAATGATGTAATACAATCAGCTCTTTTCCCCTATGAAAACTTGTGGATTGCACCTCCCCCACTTGTGTGAATACACCACTAGTCTAGATCAGACAAGCTTGTTCTGCTGCTAGCTTCATGCCACCAATTGATCATATTTTGATTAAATTTTCCTCAGCGTGCTTATAGTTATAAATCAATCCTACTCGGAATGTAACATCTTTTGAGTGTGAGTGATTGCACCCTCAACCTCCCTCTAGCTTTTAGCCATGATTTTGCAGAGTCTTCTAAATCCCCCTCCATGGCCTCGAGGCGAATTAGCTCTATGAGCACCTTTAACCGGTCCGCTAGTCTGGGCTCAAACCTGTGCACGCGCGACCGCAGCCCAGAGAGTTCTCCACTACCCTTACCTACTCTGGGTGCACCTGTCTTTCCTATGCTCCCAAGTAAGTATTGTCTAATAGTTTAGGAAGACAAAAGGGGAGTCCGTTTCGAAAAGGAGCTCTAGCCTGAAAAAAAAAAAAAAGGAAAAATGTCTTGGTCCCAGTTTCACAAAAAAACTTAAGTTAGTTCCCTAGCTAAGTTGACTGGGATTTCCATGAATTCCGGGATTTACACTGCTCCTGATAAGGTAAGATGTGTCCATACGACCATGTAACCTTGGTAATGAGGTTGGTAGCCAGGGAAACTAAAATAATTTTTTTTTTTTTTTTTTTTTGTGAAACTGGGGCCAAGATGTCTTCTTTTTAAGCTAAAGCTCTTTTTGGTAAACAGGCCTGCAGGTGAGAGGAGGGGTAAGAAGGCATTCCCAGTGGTCTGTTCTTCAGATTTCCTCAGGTTGACTTGTAAGTTAAAGATATGTGGGAAGCTATCAGAAATAGTTACATTACTGATGCAATTTATTCAGATTCCATCTTGAATTTGGCTACCATTTTGTTTCTTTATCAAGATTCCATCTTGGATTTGGCTACCACTTTGTATCTATCAATTTTTTTTCTGTGTATTTTGCCATTTTAAAAGAATTTTTCTATTCAATGAAAATCAAAAAGTGTTTCATCGGTAGAAAAAGAATTGCCAGAAGCTTATTTCTTCTTTATTGCAGCAAATCATTTTCCTTCAAAGGAACAGTTTATGCTGGAATTACCAAGGGAGTGCCTCCCTCCTCCTATGCTCTTGAATATTTGCACAATTATTGCTGTAAAGAGCTAGTTTTGATATTGTAATCATCACTTTCTTCCATGCAATTGCAATTTAACACTGGGTGAAGGTATTTTTATTGTGGGGTTTTGATTGCCTTGAGTCTGTCTAATTACATCAGTCCAAAATGCTTATCGATTTACGTAAAAGCATAACTGATAGTAATTTATTATCCCTTGTCAATCGTAAGGATAATGCATATAACCAGTGAAGGAAGTGCTGTTGCTTCATCTGTCAAACGTTAAATAATTAAAATGTACAGCAATACTTTAGAGATCATTTTAAGCACCTTGTTGTACTCGAGATTTTCAACATGCTTAACAATTTTGCCAGTCGGAAATACCAATTTGGCAAGCAGTGTTCTAAGCGTAATAGTGCTGTGAAACAAATGCCTGCTAATTAAAATCCACTTTATATAATAAATATTGAATATCCATGTTCAGGTCTCAGTAGTGGTATTGCCAGCAGTCTGGCTGGTGGCTCCTTCATCAGTAAAGTGTTGCTGGCCAACGCTGACGCCCTGTGTGCTGCTGCCTCTCCACTAATGGAGGAAGAGATCTCACTGTGAGTAAAATGCTTATTAGATAAATAGATAGGCTGTGCCTCTCTACACCAAGGAATTGTTTTACACCCCCCTCCCCCCTCCCCCCCCCCCCCAAAAAAAAAAAAAAATTAATAAATAATAATAATAAATATATTAGTGTTTAGCTTTAGGTCAAGCTTATACTGCTTAAATTCAATATTAAAGTTAACTGCAGTTGGCAGGTTCATTATGGTGAAGGTTAATCTGAATTAATGGTCTAAACAGGTAGATTAATCCTTTATCACTGACAGTCTTCCAATAAGTTGGTGTAGTATCATTTTTTCAAATTTCATTCAAAATTTAACATCAGTATTCATGAAGCCCCCTGAGGTTATGCTGATCAAGAATCACAAAAAAAAAAAAAAAAATAATAATAAATAAATAAATAAAGATATTTTGATATACATTGCTCTATATATTATATATTGAATAAAATTTTGTCATTTTCAGGGAGGAATATACTGAAAAGTGTGTGATGAATAATTACTTTGGTATTGGACTGGATGCTAAGATTACTCTGGAGTTTCACATCAAACGAGAAGAACACCCAGAGAAGTGCAGGTAAGTGGGAAACTGGCTTATTTGAATGTGAATTATTTTATAAATGAGGTCTTGATATGTTGATAATGAGACACGATTTGTGTAAAGATTGCTTGTAATTTTTTAAGGCAATCCTGATAATTTGGTTTCACCTTCAACTTTTACAGTGATAAAAAATTGTGATTTTTTTCTTTTTCTTTTATAACAGAGGCTTTAGTGAAAAAAAATACAACTGTAGCACAGAACAAAAAAAATCAACTAATTTGTCACTAAAATGCGTTCCTGTCCTTACCACCATCATCATGTCATTTGAGATTTACGTACACTTTTTTTGAAGTTGCCTTTTTGCTTACAGAAGTCGCACCAAGAACATCATGTGGTACGGGGTTCTAGGGGGTAAGGAAATTTTGTCAAAGACCTTCAAGAATCTGGAGCAGCGTGTCCAGCTCGAGTGTGACGGACAGCGTATACCTCTACCTAGTCTGCAGGGAATAGTGGTGCTCAACATTCCAAGGTAAATGACGTCCTGTTGGTCACATGGTCATTTATATCCTGAACTAGGTCACATAGTAATTCACATCCTGAACTAGGTCACTGTGACCTATTTATAACTGGAGAGGGTAATACAGCATATTACAGTTCAGTTTGCAAGGAATAAGTAATAGAGCACCAGCCTTTGGAGTGTATGTGATGTACGCAAGTTACTTTTCAGACACATTTTATGTGTTAGCCACTCCAGCTTCAGACTCACGTATATCACATTTATCTGATGTATTATAAGTATAATGTTAAAATATGACTATTTTAAGTCTCACGTTAAATTAATAAATAATAATAGCTATATAATTTTATAATGTCATCATTGTATTAACCCAAGAGATAAGGCAACAAGATGTAAAAAGGAGCAAAACATTCAATATGTAGACAGGTAATATTTTTTTCACAGGCTGGTTGAACTTGATAAAAATATTTTCATTGTTTCTTTATGTTTATCTTCTCCAGTTATATGGGTGGTGCAAACTTTTGGGGTGGAACCAAAGAAGATGATGTAAGTGATTTGTGAAGATAAAAGAATTATCACATTTCTAAGGGAAGATCACTTAAGATAGATTTCTCCAAAGTGTTATTTGAATTTATTCCTGAAATGTAGTCTAATAAAGGAGAGTACATTTTCTTCATTTTCAGTGTTTTATGTCACATACATGTTGTTTTTGTTTCTGAAAGGAACAGAATGTATATTGAGAATTGCTTGTAGGTGAAGATAAGTTTAAAATTATCTTTTAGCACACATGTTAAAAAAACTGTTATAAAAGTATCCTTATAGTATCCTAAATCACTCCTGCAAGTTATCAAATCAGATTTATTTTAAGATGCTCAAAACTCTTCACTACGATCAACTTAAAATCATTATTGATATTTTTATCACTACTTACCATTCCAGAACTTCAGCGCCCCATCCTTTGATGACAAAATCCTGGAAGTAGTCGCAGTATTTGGCTCTATGCAAATGGCGGTCTCCAAAGTGATCAACTTGCAGCATCACAGAATAGCACAGGTAAGAGACCATTGTGGGGAATTAAGGATGGACAGTGACATTCATTAAATAAAAAAATTTAAGAGATGGTACTGTAGCATCACGGACAAACAAAATAACAAAATAGCCACAAGTGGCTTGTGTAAATTGTCTGTTGTTTTGGGTTCTCGGCGTGAAAGTGACCAACCGAAAAACTAAGGAGAGAGAGAGGAGTTAAAGAAAATTGAAAAACATACACTGTTTTTAGCTTTGTGTACAAACAAAGTTGTCTTCAGTTAACTTTGCACAATTCATAAGAATTTTCCTTTGGTTTCAGGGCTGGTGAAATCACTGATATAAAGAGTAATAATAATAAGAGAAAATTTGCCAAAAAAAAAAAGAGTTATTTTTGGTTGCACAGCACTTATAATTGTTTATTGTCCCTTTGGTTTCAGTGCCGGACAGTGAAAGTGACCATCATGGGGGACGAGGGGGTCCCAGTCCAGGTGGACGGCGAGGCGTGGGTTCAACCCCCTGGGTACATCAAGTTCACTCACAAGAACAGAGCTCAGATGCTCACATGGAGTAGGGTGAGTATCAAAATTTGAAGATCAGAAGAGAGTAATTTCTGCCTGTCAGTTTAAATGGCTTTAACCAAAAAAGTTCTCAGCCTACTGGTTCAATTTTTGCAGGTCAACATAAGCCTGTTTAACGAAAGATATTCAGCCCAACAATTTCTGAAATTTTATTTTTTATTTTCTGAAATTTAGACAATCAATCTCAGTGCAGTTTAGTGCACACTTACTTAAAGGTACATACGAACCGAGCATCGGTGGAGCGTGGATTCCCAGTAACACATGTAAACCACTTCTACTAGATTCTTATATGACTCAAATAAATTTGACATGCCAAGGGGTAAACTGAATAGATCACTCGATCAGCCATAAAAGACCTTTAGACTGCTCCTTTCTTTAAATTTATGGTTGTAAATTTAACCTACTTCCGTGACCTACTTTCCTGCCCCATTGACATACAGCTTAGAATACCAGCAGAAAAATGTGTTCAAACCTTATTTTCAGGTAAAATTAAACAATGCCTTTTGGTAATTCTCTTAGTTATACTACTTGAAACTATATGCGGGCATTTGGTTGGTTTCTGTGAGAAAAAATTGACTTTGTATGTATCTTTAAGTACATCATATTATGATAACTATATGGTGACTTTATTTTGCAATTAAAAAAGGAAACCAACCCTCTGTTTCAGTCCTTTGAGAGCACGCTGAAATCATGGTCTGAGAAGCAGAAAAGAGAAGAGATTATTCAGGAAAGCCATTTCTCTCCTTACCTGACTGAGGAAGAAACCAACATACTGCAGACCTTTGTGGAGGCCACAGCAAATGTCATCAGAAGGTATATGATCATTCTCTGTAATGGTTCTTGACTTGCTTGATATTTATTGATAACCCAAGACCTGAATATGAGCAGCACTTAACAAATCTACTTAAACCAATTTGTGAAATTTGTCTTGTTCATTGTTCATTTATTTTGATTTTTATTATTTATCTATTATTTTAGTGATTTTCAGCCTCGATAATGCCAAGTTATGCACATGTTTCTCTTTAGCCTTTGAAACATTAGTTGCTATTTATGCAGTCTTAAAACAGATGTGGGTCTGTGCATTTGACAGCCTTTGCTGCATATTAGCTTATTTTGTATAAAGGTACACCTTGAAGCAGCCAAGAGTTCTAACATTTGACAGCTTTAGCTGGCTGGTTTCCTGTAATAAATAAGTTGATACTGTGTTTTGTTATAATTTCAGTGTAAAGATAGCCTCTATATGTCACAGTTCTGTAGAACAAGAGCTCTACCACCTGGCCACCCAGGCATCCGGTTTCCTTGACAGACTCTATCCTGCAGGAAAACTGGCAGAGGTAACTCGTTATTCTTTATTTTATGATTTCTATATTGGAAAGAAATTACAGAAGGGCCTGGAAGTGCTACCTGTAGAGAGGGCTTTGGTAAAGGTACAGAACCCAATTCAGGTTATTGTTAAGTTTTTTTTTCACATACTGCCTCTGATTAACATGGTACTTGTGCAATAAATAGTAAAATTTGCAGTTTTGAGTGGAATCGGAAAATTTTTTCTTGCAAAATGTGCATACATTTTTTGCTGTTTGATGATCAGTAAGAAACAATAAGTGTTGTTTCTGTAACTTAAAAAACTGGTTGATTGAATTTTGGTGTCTTGGAAGAGTCCTTTGTAACAAATGTGTTTCATTCTCCAATTTTGATATCTTTTTTGTACATATAACATTACAAGCAAGAAAGAACATAATATCTCATTTATTTAAGTCAGTGGATACAGTGGTCTTTTTAGACTTCCTTTGTATAATGTCAAGTCTTATATTACAACTTTTCTTTCCTGCTGCAGCCGGATCGTGGGATCAGTGAGGCTTTTCAGGTTTCTATCTTTACCATTCTCTGCATTGTGAACTAGTTGTGAAGATGTTGTGTATTTCCCTTCCCTGTTGACACTGACCTTGACCCACATATTATCTGACCGAGTTGTAATGTGACCTTGACCCAGTTTTGTGTATTGTGACCTAGTTGTGAATTTCTTGTGTACACCCGTATCTTGACTTATGTGCATTGTGAACTAGTCGGTGTGTATGTGTTTTATGCCATTAAACACATCTTCGTTGTGTTTGCATTGCAAACTAGTATTTGTGTAGTCTTAATTGTTCTGTTTTTTTTTTTCTTTTCTAATTACATCAATAACTGGACAGTGCATGGTGTTTGGCTTTAGTTGTTGCTATGCAAGGTACATATCTGTTGTTTTAGTTTTAATCGAGATGGAAGGAATCAAGAATGGTTTTCGTTGCAAAATTTAACTGAGGATTTTTGCCACACACACACTCACACCTAACACACTGCCACCCTAACGCATTTTCACAATGTGCTGCAATTCCATTACAATGCCATGTCTATGACAATCAAACCTAGGTACTGTACTTTTACACACTCGGCAAGTTTTTTTTTTTTTTTTACTTGCAAGTTCTAGTTTTAGCCATTAGTCTAAAAATGTGGTTCACATCTGTTGTATAAAATGTTTTTCCCCTCCCATCACAGGTAGCGTATGGTCACATTCAACATCCATCATATTCTTACGTTAGCACAAGCACTCACTGACATGCACATGTACTCACAAACACAAACACTGTAATTCTACAAATACACTGAAACATACATACACACACATACTGTAATGCCACTATCACACATGCATATACACACATACACTTTAATGTCACTAACACCACACACACACACACACACACACACACACACACACACACACACACACACACACACACACACACACACACACTGTAATGTCACTAGTCTAGTAGCACCCTCTGTCACCCTGGGTTAAGACCTTTTGCTTATGTGGTCATAGCATAGATGGCACTGGGGGAGTAATATATAGGGCACAGGGCACAGGGTGTTAATACCCATCAAGGTAAGACTATGGTTATCATAGATTTGGTATCTTCCTATAGTCAGCAGTTGGTCTTAGTTAAATATAGAACTTACTGCTTCCAAAGAGGGCTTCTTCAGTTTTATGGATATTGTTTTTTGTTGTTCTTATAGTGCAAACAAAGGTTATATTGCATGTGAGAGACTTAATTGTATGGTATTGCTAAGAATGAGTAAAAAACGCAGCTAGTCAGACATTGGCAAAAACATGGTATGGTAGTTTGCACATGAAGTGTCTCTGTTCAAAGATAGGGGGTGCCACTGTGCTGCACAGCCCCAACTGAATGTGGCTCATTTATATTAATAGAAGAATTGTAATTAGAAAATACCAGTAGTATTGCAATGACATAAGAAAATGGATTCCATTTCAACCAAGCGGAGGGGATTAGTCACATTCTGTGATAGTTCTAGGTGATAGCGGGTGTCACTAAACTCTGAGCTGTGTCGTGTGTTGTCTTCTTTTTCAAATATCAATACGTGATCACTTATCAGACTCTGGCAGCCAGTGGCAAGTTTGTTTAAAGTTGAACACGTCAATCATAAATCACCCACCATTGTTGAACCATTAATATTGCTATAATCTTTTTGAATGTGGGATTATGTGATATTTAATTTGTGTTTTTTAATTTGATAAACATATTTTTTTTATTTTTTAGCCCACAATCAGAAGTCAAGTGTCAGATCTCGTCAGCAGCGTGCGACTACTGTGCCAAGAAACCAGCCTCTTTTTACAAGAGAAGGCAACTGAATGTGTAAGTTAGCCTCTCTTGCTGCAGCTTCACCACTTCACCCCCCCCCCCCCAAAAAAAAAAAAATTAAATAAATGAATAAATAAAATAAATGAAAGGATATAAAATAAAATGGTAACACACTAGTATTCTCTCTCCCACACACATCCCTTCAAGTTGAGATGCCTTTCCAAAGAAGTCAACGAAACAACAGTTGTGGAAAAAGGTACCATACAACAAGGATTTATATATCCAATGGCATGTGATTTTCATACATTGTAGGCATGATCAAATGATTTGCTTCTATGATTTTAGCGACTGCGGTCAGACAATGCGGAAAGTCTGTCGAGCTCCGTGGCAGCAGTTGAAGTAGAGCTCAAGAGAGTGGTCGAAATTGGAGGTCTGGCTCACTTCCAGGCTTTAGAAGAAGAGGTAAGATATGCGAGTCACCTTGACTTAATTCAAGCTTAATACAGATCTGAAGCCTGTGGCTGGCAAATTTGGTGCCAGTTCATTTTGAGCCCATTCAGAACCAGTTGATCCGTGGACTAACTAGTCTGCAGATCAAATATGGTGCCACCCACTTGAAAGCGTGCTGAGATTTAATTGCTCTGCCCCTGCTGAGACAATGTGCTTTGGAGGCGGAAATCCATTGTCAAGTTCCCACCATATTTCATCTGTGGACTTGTTAGTCCATGGCCCAACTGGTTGTGAAAGTGTCCTATGATGACCTGTACTCTAAATGTATCTTGCTTTGTGTATAGTTGCAGGTGCCACCAGAACAACACAAGACAAAGACCAAGACGGGAATGTTTCGACTCTTTAAGAAAGGAGGGAAGTCAAAAGAGAAACCAAATCTTTCAATAGCACCTGGTAAGTGTTTGAAGGAAAGACCAGTTAATCAAAATATGAGCATCTGCTTTATTCGTCCCCCCTTTTTTTTTTTACAGCGGGAAAATTTTGTTATGTATACCCAGTGTTTTGAGCATTGAATATCCATATGGCTATATTGTGAAGAGAAATTGCAAGCCACATTTTCAGAATTTTTTAGTTTTTTACAGCTTTCACCCATGTCAGTGTGTTAAATTCCAGTGTTAAATGTCCATGAGTGGGGTCCCGAGGAGGTGGCACAATGGCTGAGCAGTGTGGGCCTCGGGGAGTACAAGGACAGCTTCATCAGCCATGACATCCGCGGGAGAGAGCTCCTGACTCTGGAGCGAAGAGATCTCAAGGTGAGTGCACTGCTACCTTGGTGGCAGAATTGGGATGAGTGTGTGCATATGCATGTGTGGGCGCGCGCGCGCACACACACACACACACACACACACACACACACACACACTTGTGAAGTTCAGTAAAGTTTGAATGAAGTCTTTAATCTATTTCCAGACTTATGTTATTTAGGTATGATATACATTTAGTAATATATAGATTAAAAAAACTTTATTTGTATACACAGTATTGCCAGTTAAGAGCTGTTCTCTCCAGCATATTGAAAGCTCTTGCTAGCTGGCAGCAGCAGATAAGACCAGACTAATACTTTGGGTGTATTAGACACTAGCCATACACAGTGAAATGTAATAATAATAGCTTCTATGGGCCCAATTTGCATAATTGTATACTAGTTATCTATTCTGTTATCATCAATAATGCTTTTAATCTAAGATTTTATTTTAAGCTTTAATTGTTTTTTTGTGCTTCTGTAGATTTTAGTTTTATATGGTCTGTTTGGCATAATGTTGGTACCTGCCTGCATGAATGTGTTAACAAGTAACTGCTGTCAATAATGAACTCATGCAAAAAAAAAATGGAACATCATAGTCAAAATAGACATCTTTTTTAGAAACAACATACATTATGATGGCATCATGAGGTATCAGTTTGAGTTACTAATAGCAGATTGTCCAAGGTGTGAAGCACTGGCACAACTTTGTTATTTAAAAAGATGGTTTTATGAAGCTGAGAATTTGGCCACATTTACAACCAAAGTTGATCTGCAGACTAACAGATCCACAGATCAAATATTGCCAACCCACTTGGAAGCTAGCTGCATAATCCCAGCGGGGAATCTATTCAGTTTGTATTAGGAGATTATGCAGCAAACTTTCAAGCTTTATTTGATCCACAGATGTGATAGGCTTGTTGTAAATACGGCCTTCATCTACTCTCTCAGGTTTGCCAACTTGACATGCAGACTCCATGGTTATTATTCAATCAATTTGAAGAAAATAAATTCATAATTTTCAACAAAAAAGCTATGCTCTGTTGGTAATACTCCAAAGATTTATTCAACATTTTTGAAAAGTTAGCTTCTTGTCAAAAAGTACATTTTTGAAAATAGAAATGATTAAGCTTTAAAAATTTGAAGTTTTTTTTTAATTTTAATTTTAAACATTTGAACATTGGAAAATTAATGCAAATAATGTACGTATGAAGTTGACAACTGGAGTGCCTAGCATTTGTTGGTAACAATTTTTTTCAGTTTTCTCACAACTCTAAAATCCTTAATCTCTGAACTCGAAAATATTAAATATCCTTGGGGTTATTATTTTTTTCTTCCTGTGTTAGAAACTTTAATCATTGGTCCAAGTACACCATGTCTTGCCCTATTTTATGCATGTTTTCTGATGAAACTTTAAAACGTGTGATACTCTGAAATATTATCTTTTGTATATTATGGCAATTACTCATTAAAACCAAACAAAAGTAATTATTTTCTTCAAAACACTGTTTTGTGAGTAATAATCGAAATATGGTTTTTTGAATTTTTGGGGCTTCATGTCAGATGCTTCACTTATTTACAGTGTGTGAGTAACTGAAAGTGATTTATCTTGAAAAAGGCAACATTGAAATAAGTTTAGCAAAAAGTAGAAAAATTTAAGTAATTGCCATAATTTGCTCTTGCCACCTTAAAATGGATGTTTTGGGTCTGTAACACCTTCCTGAATGCAGTGACTTGAGAAAGGATTACTTAAAAGGTTTCACAGGGTGTTTTGAATGAGTTTTGAATGCCTTACCAAGACTTACTTTTCAATGGCAAATGTGTTTACACCTGGCAGGAATTGGGCAAACTTTAGATGAGTTTAATTTTTTTCTTGACCCTGCTAATATCTGATGGTGTTTGGAGCATTTGAAGTTTTCATGTGTGTATTAAAATTGTTTGCATGTAAATTTTTTTATTGCACCTTGACAAGTTTTTTTATTCACATGTTCAATCCTTGATTAATCGTATTTAACTACTCAAATTTATTTAAGTAATTAAAATAAAACACTAAAATACTTGAAATGATGTCGCTGCCTCTGATATAAGATTTTTTCTTTAGAGCATCTTGAAAATAGAATTGGCCTCATCCTAAATTTGTTACTTTCATGGGTGAAAGTTTCAGGATTGTGCTGGATATCAGGATTTTCAATCTTCACTTTGATCTTTTTGTCATATGGTCTAAATGTAATGAGAAATTGCAAGTTACAACTTCCACCCATGTACAAGTACTAACTTGACAGCTTGGAAAATACAAAAGAAAAAAAATGCATTTTGCACAAAATGTTACAATAAATTATATTTGCATATCTGTGCTTATTTCAAATTAATATGACAGACAACTGATTTCAACTGTGATCGCTCTCATTGTAGCAAATTTTTGGTTTTATGTAAATGTTCAGAAAAAAAACTACGAATTTTGGGTAGTTTGGCAGAAAGGAAACAGACATTCATTTTCTTTTATCAAACTAGATATTCTTAAAACTTCATGAAAGTTTTGTAGCATGCTAGATCGAGCTCAGCAAATGGTTATTTAGGTTGTTTGCTTACTGAGCACTTTACTTTGACTAATCCAGTGGTCCTAAAGTATAATTAATTAAGTTACAGTGTTTTTTACTCTGCTTCAAAGTAGGTGACTTGCTTACAGTTGTCAGTCTCTCAAAGTGCACCGCTTGATGTGAAAAAGGTAAAAAAAACTTCATATAATGATTAGATAGAATTCAATCTAATGTATTTCTGTAAAATTTTGCAGGAGCTAGGAGTCACCAAAGTGGGGCACCTGAAGAGGATCCAGCAGGGGATAAAGGACATCAGTAACAGAATGTCCTCGCTGGACAAACACGCCACTGTGTTATGACAACTACTCAAGCCTCCGCTGCCACCCTGGTGGCTTACCCTGGGGGCACTGAAAGAGGAACATTTTGAGCAAGAAGCGGATGTGTATTATTAATCCCACGATTCCCACTGTTAAAATCCCGGTGGCTTACCCTGGGGGCACTGAAAGAGGAACATTTTGAGCAAGAGTCAGATGTGTATTTTTAATCCCACTGTTGAAATCCCAGTGGCTTACCCTGGGGGCACTGAAAGAGGAACATTTTGAGCAAGAAGCAGATGTGTATTTTTAATCCAACTGTTGAAATCCCGGTGGCTTACCCTGGGGGCACTGAAAGAGGAACATTTTGAGCAAGAAGCAGATGTGTACTATTAATCCCACCGCTGCCACCAATGTAGCATATTTCTTTGTACTCATGGCACCAAAGCTAGCCAGTATTTCACTCTTAACCCCTCAAAGCCACCTTGATGGCTTACCGTTGGAGCAGCTAAAGAAAAGCTCTTTCAGTGCAGTATATTTTTGTGAACGGAGATCAATATTTTCTTTTGAACTTCCATCCAGGTGCTTTAGATTGGGGACTCAGTCAATCGAACCATAAGAGTGAACAACACAGTTTATAAGATCCTCCTGTTGCCACCAGTGAACATATAAAAACCTTAATTGATGATGAATATTTGTTTTTTTATAACATGTGACAGTGGTCCAAAGACTGATGGCATTGGATTAATATGCAGCACAGCATGGAGAGGATTTAATTTTGAAAACTAACATGTGAGGGGCCAATTCTTTCAGACACTGATAGCTACCACTATTGTAGCACAAGATGAGGTGATTGTGAACAGTTTGATGTCGAGAATGGGAGCAATTAGTAGGTAAACCCCTTGGTAACCTGTAAGGGGCCAATTTTTTTTTCTGACAGTGATAGGTATTGTATTTATTTTTAATTTAGAGGAGGCAGATTTGAAAGAGTTTGATGTCATATAAGAAATTGGAAGGGGGGTGAGCATGGAGCACAAAGAGAAGAACAACTGGAAACTGAGAATTGAATATGGAGTAAAAAATGGATGACGACCTAGGGACATCTTCACTACTGATTCTGGCAAACTGCTGCCATGGTTAAAGCATTGCCAAGTTGCTCAATTGAACACGAGACCACATCTTTTTATATCCCTATATTATTTACATGTAAGGTGGTCAGTTTGGTTCAAAATTAGTTGGGCAAACTGCCTGCAGGAGGATTTTGTTTGACTGAGCAGAAGCATGTTACAGTTAGGCACCAACTGAATTGTTGGCACCAACATGTTACAGAAAAGGCACCAATGGAATTGTTGGCACCAACATGTTACAGAAAAGGCACCAATGGAATTGTTGGCACCAACATGTTACAGAAAAGGCACCAATGGAATTGTTGGCACCAACATGTTACAGAAAAGGCACCAA